ACTGGTAGCAACAAGCTCTGTTTCAGATAGTTTTTTATCCCCCCTTTCTAATTTTGTCTCTGTGTGATGTCAGAGAGTGGGGATATTAACGACGCGTTTCACCTCGTGCGCACAGCTTTTTGTCGTGAGTAGTGAAGCCCTACGCGACTCCTGTTCAGACGTTTACGAAGAGTAGCCAACCAAAAGAAGGCTAGCTTCAAGGGAAGGCGCAAGGAAGCTAAAACTGTTTGGTTTCAGAGCGCGGATTAACTGAGGCACAGAATCAAGGAAAAGTTGCAACTGATGCAAATGAGTATCACAGGTTCCATTTGAAATCTGTAGATGGTTTTAGACCCGATTTCCATCGCACCAAAATAACATCAAATAAAACCAAATAACAAACATACTTATATACATAACACAGCAGCATCGGGCTTGCAGGCAGAACAAGAGCAATGATCTAAAAGCAAGTATGGAGAGCACGAGTAAATATGGGATTTGAATTTTCCAACATATTCTGGTATAGTGTTAGAGATGGTTCACTAAAGATTTTGTTGTTACATCATCTTCCAAGCTTTTGGAATAATTTTGGTAAGAACATGCTTGTGCTGACAGAGGTATTAGCATTGGGTTTCTTTAAAGGTCAATATTTTGGTTAATAATAAATAAATATTGTTTGAGTGGCTCATCGTGGTGTTCACTCCTTCACACATATTGAAAATGTGTGATAACAGCAAAAAGAACTATCAATCTCCAAATGAGATCATGCACAAAAGCACCAACTCCTTATGAGTTCAAATGCACTTTGAAAAATAGATCTGATTGTGGATGGCAGTGTGCGCGAGTGTGTGTCTGTGGTTTATGTGCAGTCTTTAGGCAACACTTGGTTGTTCAAGGCCATGTGAGAGAAAGAGGAGAAAAAAAAAGTGAGAAAGCACTGTAGGACAGACAGGCATGCGACCAAGACCCACGCCTTCCCGACACACACACACAGAGATATATTTACACACATGCACACATGCTCCCCTGCACACTCGGCCCCCACGCGCTGAGCCAAGCGGGCAGTTGCAGCCCAGTGGAGCGGCACAAGGCAAAAGGGGAGGGGGTGGATGGGTTGGGGGAATAGTGGAGGAGGGGCTGAGGTGCACAGAGGGCGAGAGGCGGCGAGGTGGAGGGGAGGCTGCAGGCTCGGCGCTGGGAGGTCAGTGCCGGTGCAGCCAGGCGTGCAAGCGTGCCTCTCACGCCCCCCCGCACCCTCACCCGCCTTTCTTTCCTCCTTCCTCACTTATTCTCTCTCTCTGCCTTTCCATCGCCCTCTCTCTCCCCAACTCTTTCTATGTGTTTGTGTACGCCGACTGAGGTCGCCACAGGGGAGCTTTACAGACAGGTAACGACCGTGGCTTTCCTTCCCCTGACAAATATGGGGGGGAAGAAGAGGGGAGAATATAAATAAAATTGAATTGAATTGTTACATCTGTAACATTAAAAAATACATATACATTCTATGCGTTTACATTAAGTATACAGCAAACAACCAAACTCATTATTAAAGTCAATATTAATAACCAGAAAGTTCTTTCTTTGGTTGAATAGAGGTATGAGTTCTTTTCAATGTATTGAAAGACGTATGATAGCAACACAATAGTGTCTACAAAGGTCTGATGTGGCAGATCAGGCCTACAATTATCAGAGGAAATCGCACGTCAGAACGCAAGCACAAACACTTTACTCCACACACACACAGATATCGAGGAGGAGGGTTTTTCAAGAAATATCGCCATTGTCTTCACTGTGACAAACCACATTTGGCTGACAGACAGCTGTTCCAACTTATTTTAGGGGCATCTTAACAGTGTCCGCACCCACCACAGTGCAGCACAGAGCTCGTTCACACAAACTGCCAGACACATTCAGCTCTCAGTCTTTGGCATCTCTGCTGAGCAGGACACTAACGGAAGCTAATGGGTAATTTGCTAAATTAAACAGTTTATTTTAACTGAATTATTCATAGATGGAAAGACAACAAGAGCCACAAAAATGGTTTTAAGTGTGTGTGTGTATGACTAGGATTGCATTTCTGTATGTCATACCCACATTACGGTTTTAATGTCTGTCTATCAGTGAGACTGATGCACATACTGGTGGCTCCATATCTAATTGGTCGCAGAGACACAGAGAGAGACGCGCACCAAAGTTATGCACTTGGCACAACTGCAGTTTCTGCACACTTCTGAGCTGATGACCTATTCCATTGTTACCATAGCAACGTAGCATCAGCAACATGCGTGCGAGCGTGTGCACAAACACAGAACACACGTCACGCAGTGGATACGGTCTAGCCATCACACAAACACATCGTCCTATATTTCACTCAACATGGAGCACTTTAATTATTTAATTATCTTCTCCATTCTTACCCAACTGAAAATGGGTGTTATGAACATAATGAGAAAGAAGTTATATGGAAAAAAGTGCGTGTGTGTGTACGCGCTTGTACAGATATGCGCGGCTGCATGTTTAATTCCACTTTGCAAGAGAAGCCCTTGATTGGAGGAGGTCTTTACGAGCCGGAGGAGGGGAGTGTAATTTCCTCCCGGCCTCCGCCAGTTCCGCTGAAATAACAGAGCAGAGGAAGCCCAGCTCTCCCGGGAAGAGACACACACACACACGAACCCAAACACACTCGTATGTGCACACACAGCAAGCTGACAAGTCAGCCGGTATCAGGCAAAGAGAAACACAAATACAAACCAACACAAACATATGCAAAGACAAAAAGACAAATACACAGAGCTAAGATAAAGTATTATATAGACACTCAATAAGCAGCATCTGAAAACCTCAATGACTAACCGTAACAAAAGCAAACGCTAATATGAAAGAGGAATCCTTTAAGCAACTTGCCGTTATTACATAATGGAAAAGTAAGACACCTCGACAGCGAGTCGTAAAGGAATTAATTTCATACGCCAACATTAAGAACATATTTAATCCATAAACTTTCCAGTGTAACGGACCAATTTGTGTCGTGGTGTTATTAAAACGGCTCGTGCCCAGGCAGACGCAGCAAATTACCTTCCCTGATTTCTGTGCAGGCAGGTGAGACGTCTTCCCACCAGCTGCTGCACTTTTTTATGATGGCTTGCCTCATGCCTATAGCGAAACAAGATCACTCAAAGTTCAGCCGTCAAACTTTCAAAACAAATGTCGGCATGAGGTAATTTGTGTCAGTAGGCAGGCATATAGTGCACGCGTGTGTGTGTGTGTGTGTGTGTGTGTGTGTGTAAAAGTGCGAGAGAGCGAGAGCTCATCAGTGAGGGAGTGCTGGCTGCCATGCCCTGAGGGGAGTCAGTGGGGAGAAAGGGAGACGCCAGTACAGGCCATACAAGTCCCGCTGCCTTCCCTCCTCCGCCTAACCCTCACTGCTCCACATAGAACTGCCAACATGCTCAGCCTGTGTGTCTATGCGTGTGTGTGTGTGTCTGTGCGTGTGTCACAGAGGTATTCACTTGGTGGGTTTGACTTTAGGCTTCACCACCAACCCAAGGAAAGGGGAAAGAGGCAGAAAAGGCTACAACAACAACCTTAAGGCTCTCATATCTCTGCTTACGTCAATAACAAAGTTTTCTCCGTCACAGCTGTAATTGAAGTGGAACTGTACAAGCCATAGCAAGCCAAGAGCCAATGATATCAGTAATGAGCCTAAGCGCAAGCGAACGCTCACATTTTCAAATCCTTCTATAAAAAATAAGACGTGTATTTTTCCTGCCCCCAACCTCCCTCAGGTAATTTGTTTTGGCTGAACTCAATGTGTCAGGGTGCAGGTCTTCATTCTTGGCTGTAAAAAATGTCACCAGTTTACCTGTATCACTCAAACACCTCCGGCTTATCAAACCCGCCTTTGCCTTGCGTGCCTCGCACACAATAATCAGCAGTAGCCACGCTCAGTAGCTCGCTAAGCCTCTTACACCCTTCCCTCAAGATTAGAGCTTGGGAGCGACAACAGATGCGCTCCGCGGTGATAAAAAAAAAAGAAGAAAGAAAACACAGACACACACGCAAAGACACACACTCACGCTCAAAACCCTCTGCACCTGTGTGAACAGATTTGGCGGCAGCGAGCCCGCAGTGTGCTTGCTCAAAGCTGACACACACACACAGAGCGGTGATGCTATAATCGTGACACACCTGCAAGGCCTCAAGGTTTGGCACCGTGCCCCTGGCCGAGCCCTGAGGGAGGCACTAGGCAAACAAAAGTTCAACAGCCAGGTGAGGAAACCGACTCGGCGAGACAGAAGAACCTGACCACTGATACCCAACGCCAGGCATTAGACCTGGACAGCTCAATGCCTCCGAATAAAAGGCTGTTTGATACGCCACATCTGTGAAAGGCTGAAAGTGGATTTGATATTCATGCTGAGGAAAATTACCATCAAAGCTGACATGTGTGCCTGTAGGGTCTCTTCCATCAAGGTTACAAAGACCGCTTCACAATATACTCTTACAGACTACCCCCACTGGTAGAATAAAAGCTGACAACAAAAATACCAATAAATGCTGGTATGTCTTTTCCAGCTCTGACCCACGCCAAACTCAACTATAAGCTAAGAGGAAAAAATATATAATAAACAAAAAGGAGTACAGACTCCAAAGCAAAGATTTTGCGATTTAAGAAATACAGAAACAAACTGATGTGCCAGCCAAGAAAGAGCAAACAGTCATCTTTGATTTAACTGAGCAGAAAAACAAACAATTATATTGCTTATCTATAAAAGAAAATGACAAAACCTTTGACACAAATGTTTTTTTTATACCACGACTGTGCTCTTTGACCAGTTATAACCTTCACCACCAATGAGATAATTCTTCACCACTACAGTAACCCTACACACTAAAAACAAGAAGTTATCTTAAAGACAAATAAGCTATACCTCAGCAAGTAGTGTTCCCATACCCGACATAAAACATACAGAAAGCCACAGCAGCCACCAGTATATATATATAAAAAGAAATATTCTTACCACTGGGGATGAAATTCGACAACCAGGGCAATCGCAGATGGGTGGATGCACCTGTAAGATTCCTTTGGACATAAGAGTCTTGAGACTTTTTCCTGGAAACAAACAAGAGAGACACTTTCAGAGAACACCTATCATATCCTCCATCAACTAAACTCATCTCCTGTAGCATGGGAGAAGCTCCCCACTAACATGGCATCTGTCTTCAGCTCTTCACCTCAGAATTTTAAAAACAAATAATGTTAAATAACAAAAATAAATAATAATAGCCAGACAATTAACACAACACAGACCTGAAAGAGTCGGTACCTGCAAAGATTTGCCTATTCTCTGTTTAATTTGATCACTGTGTCCAGCTGTAGCCACTGTTCAGGGCTGCGAGCCAGCCAGGAGCTTACTGACATCTGTCTATAGGAATCGCTATATTAAACTATAAGACTATCATTTTTGACCTGTGGGCGACCCCCCACACCTCCACCCACCCACACACTTCTTAATGCGCGTCAGTTTTGCCGGAGTAGCCCTGCATGCGCGTGAGTGTGAGGCGAAAGGGCGCGCACCAAGCGTAGTTACTGCATAAGAATACTTTGCTGTAAATGCCAAGCTAAAAATCGCTGGCAAAGGTTTGTTTTTTTGGGATATTGTGCTCCTCGGGGGGGTTTTAAAAAAAAAAAAAACATTCAAAATGAGTCAACAGCTTTAATGAGAAACACTGGATACAAATAAGTCGCATTAAACGAACTGTGACGCTAAATTGACGCAAAATATCGGCTCATAAAGTCTCCTCAAATCTAACATGCAATGCGTAAACGTGAACACCCATGCACAAGTGCAGCTGCACCTAGCGGAATGATTTATCCCATAATGTGGAAGAAAACAATATATCTGAACTGTCACGTATTTCAGTAAACTACGGCTAACTTTTCACCTCGGTCCAGTGCAGCCAACTCCTAGTGCAGCCCCGGCTCGGTGTGTGTGAGAGCAGCCCAAACTCTGTGTCAAAGGCTCGGAGGGTATGTGGAGGATATGCGCCCTTTCTCATCTGTCTCCTTACGCGCCGACTGCTGTAACCCTTTCACTCCAAAACTCAGTACCGAACCACAGGATTCAAGTTAGTAGCCACACTATGCGACGTCTATAAAGCTCCTAATTCACCGTGTCGTGTCCTCCTTTGCCCGTGAACCTTCAGAAAAGTGAAGATACAGTTCTTACCTTTGTGTCTGATACTCCGTTTCCAATCTTTGGCAGTCTCACGTCCACTGACAAACTGGAACTCGTTGGGGGTGAGCCACTCGCCCCTGTATTTAATTGAGGGTCCCTTACTGCCTTGACACAGTTTATTGATATAAAGCAAAGCCTTGTTTTCCCCGCACTCCACCTCAATGCAAGGCTCCCCGTTGTCGAAGAAGGGCTGAAAGTCGGGGATGGAGGAGAACCTCTCTACCATTAAGTCGTCCGTGTGATGGTGGAGGTGCTGGTGATGCAGCGCCGAGTCGTGGAGCCCCAAGTACGCGCGATGATGGGCGAAAATGTGGTCGTAGGGCGGCGGATGCGGGGTCACCACGGGGATAGCGGTGGCATTTAAAGGGGCCAAGTATTCAGAGGGGTTGAACGCAGTCAATGCCATGTCGTCTCCATCCAGCCTCTCCTTCTTGATGGCAGGCATGTTAGTGGGAGCCGAGCGCCGGTAACAAGTGAAAAGCTGCTGCTCGCCCGATCCAACTTGAGCGTCCTCTTCGTCTGCGAGTTGGGCTGACCCAGACTTGGAGACGCGCCGCTTGGTTTTACGCAGTCCCGTGTCGCCGAGAGACAGCGGTCTGATGAAGTTGCCGGATAGATTCCCATTCAGTAGTTTCCAGCTCGCAGCGGCAGCAGCGCTCTCCGCCAGCCTCACAGCTCCTACCTCCCACATTTAATCACACTCGCTCTGTTAATACCTGACATGCTGGGCAGCCCTGAGCCCCTCACACTCTCCTACCTGCTCTAATCAGTAGCGGCCACGTTTTACCTCGCACTTCTTAGCGTTTGAGAATTTTAAAAGTGGGAGTTCTTTTTTCTTTTTTAATATCCACCGAGTAGAGGTAAACCAATCGCCAGTGCAATCTTAAAAAAAAAAAAAAAAAAAAAAAAAAAAGCGATTCTGTTGTGGAAACTTGGGGGAGATGTAACGAGCCCAAATGTTACAGCCAATAACAAGAAGCCGATAAGAGTGCGTGTTTTATTTCAATTAAACCACAGTTATATGTGCCATTGATCAGAAACGCATCCCAATATTATTAATAATAATAGTAATAATAATAAAATATGAGACTTAATAATCCTTAGTGTCTGCGCAAACGTTGGTGCGGTTTAAAGTTTGGTAAGAGTTGTTAGTTTTTAACCCCTGTGCATGTCGCTGAAGTCACGCTGAAGTTCACAGACCCAGACCAAACAAGATTTGCACTCTCCGCCGCTTCTCAACTTGGCCCATTTAAACAGCGGAGGCTAGGCGAGACCCACACAGAGGGAGGGGGGTACCGCGAGGGACGGCACTTCAGTGCGTAAAATGGAGGAACCACCACGAGGAAGTAAACTGTCTCCACCTATTTAACTAACTCTTAAACGTCTTTCAGCTCTTTCCTTCTGTTTACCCAAAAGCTCACAATCGTATAATTATTAAGTGGAACACTGACACAAAATCGCACTCATACAATTTAACAACTGAAGCAGAATTCAACCCTAAAATACGCCTTTTGTGTCATTTTAAACTTCACTATTAGAGGAACTGCTCCAAATTTTGCTTTGGCCATTGTTTTTAGCCAACAACAACAACAAAAAAAGGCCAGTTTTACTCACATGTTCAACTTGTAATCACTTCATCATCATATAATTTCACAGCTCTAAAGTAGTCCTTTACTATTAACCTAGCCTATACAAAAGAAATGGACTGCTGGACGGACGTCAGAGACCACCAGATCCACACATGGCCACTGCTGTGTTCCGTTTTGGTGTCTAAATTCAACCATCTTATTTGTTATACTTCACCTACTATGACCCCGTTCTGCCCTCTCCCGCCACACCTGCTGCAGTGTCTTTATGTGAGCCGCCACTTTCAGCGCTGAACACATTTTCACCTGTTAAGCTCTCTACATGTTCTATTTTTGGTGTTAACCAAGTACAGAAGGTGTTAACCTTGTGTTTCTATTTAATATAATAAAAAACAAAGCAAAACAAGATTGATATCATTTTCAGGTATTACGAAAACAGCAAAATAGTGAGCTGTTAGACGTGTGCTTAATAACTAAGTTAATGGAAAATGTAATTTTTGTGTGTTTTGTCCTTTATATAGCTTCTGTTTTGATGTAGACAGGAAATACAAAGACAGACACTGGTGTGACATGCAATAAAGGTCAAATTATGGACCAAAAATATATTTTTGTGGTCTAAGAGACTATTTTGTCCTCAATACAGTCATAAGTAATGGTGGTTTGTTTGAGTAAAAGTGTTAAAATTGAACTAAACTCAATCATCATATAGCAAATTTTAAAAGGAATTGGTCTTATATGTAACCACTGCTGCAGACTTTTGTTTCTTTAACTGGAGTATAACCCAAAACCTGGAACCATACGTTCTGAAAGCACTTTCTCTCCACGCTGTCTGCAGGGTAGGCTCCCCTGAGCTCCTGGAGCTTATGAGCAAGACCACATCTGACCCCCATCAGTGAAGAACCACCCAGGTGGATCCACCACCACCAACACATGGAATAGCCATTCCAGCAGCAGAGGTGGGGTCTAAAGCGCTGTGTGTCAAGAGCTTATAAATCAGGCCAAACTGCCTCTGACACACACAGGAAAGAGGCACGCCACACCACAGGCGGAAGCACTGCACGGGAAGGCCGGAGTCCACAGCCGGGGCCAAAACTGGTATAAAAGCCTCCAGCCACGACCAAGCAGGCAAACACACAGCAGACATGTATAAAAACAGATGCCAGCTACCTCACTGAAGATGATGACAGGCTGTAGATTGACATTTTTCCCTTTGGATATGAGAAGCTGTGATGTCTGAAGGGAAAAGTAATGGAATTAGTGGGTTTGTGGATTAGGAAGAGACCAAAACAGATGTTACATTCACAGCTAAGGAAGAAAAAAGTGACCTGAGATCACTTCTCCGAAAAGCCTCGCCTGAAACAGAAAGAAAAAAAAAATCGAATCAAACATTTTTCGACATATCTTTCCACGTGATGGTGAGCTCGCCGAAAAGCAGCACTGACATTAATTATGACCTGCTGACATTTATGGCATATGTTTAAAAAGTCGTTTCTAGGAAGTGGAACACTGCATTTCAGATTAGAAGCTCTGATACTTTATCAAAGCGGGCCTCACCGCAGCAAAATGTCTCGATGGAAACCTTGTTGATAAGTGCGTTGGTGCTAGAGGCTGCACCGTCGGGAGAGCCCTGATGAAACTAGTCATAAAGGGGACACCCATTGCTTACACCCACTGCCCATCCTTGAATGTGACTCATTCAAGGGGTTCCCCAAACTTTAGTGACGACACCTCAACTTTCACATCTTCAAAAAATTGGTTTGGTGTTAAATGAGTAAAACTTTCCATCAGCAACCTGTGTCTTACATTAAAAAAAAATGTAAAAAAAAAACAACCTCTTGATTTGATGGGGAAACCTTGCTCAACCTTTCTACCTCCTTTAACCTTTTTACTTCCTCTTTGCAGTTTGCAGTGTGGAAGAGTCTCGTGTACAATAGAAAAGAAAATACCAAAGAAAAACCCACACCTGCTCATACACCTCATAAATTTACAGTGAAACAGAAAATCCCAGCATCAACGTATAATGGCTATATTACAGTAAAATGGTATCTTATTTTAGTTAACAGAGCGTTACCTCTGCTTGTGTTGCTTTTGAGCTTAAAAAAATTAAAAGAAGTTAATTCTGTTACATTTGAAACCAATTTAGAGTAGAAATAACCCACAGGGCATAAAGTCAGGCAGTTTTGCTGTAATTGTGTAGGAGCTTTAATAAAATGTGTTGTAGATTCTACAAAAAAGTACCTCCCACAAAGATGATATAAACATTAGTTCTTTTGATATAATTAACTTTTTGTTGCAAACTACTTCTTCACTCTGTGACTTTCCGTGTTTCCCGAGATGTCTCTGAGCAGCCTACACAGACGCACACTTGTGCATCTTTCAGCTATGACGTACTCTAGTCAAGCGATCGTGAGTCAAGCCTTGCACTCGCACAGCAAAACACTGGTGGAGATATTAGCATCACCTCATCTTAGAGTTTCTCAGTCTCATGCTAAACACCTGTTCACATGTGAATAAACTGGTGAGCCTGCAGTACAAACCCTTAGATTAGAAATGAGATACCGACTGATTTAACAACCCCAAAATATACATAGAAAGGAAACCAATCGCCCACTAAGGAACAAGAGAGACTTTAACACTACTGAATTTTTCTCTTCAGGTTGGTCACTAAACTTAATACAGACACCACTTCACTGCACTGTTTGTGTATTTTCTTTTGGCATTTCATCACTGTAATATTTTTAAATGATAAATTAAACATTCATATTGCTAAATTACACTGTTGCTTTCTGGAAATTCTGTCTATGAGCGCTACATTACGCAGAGGATAAGCGTCTACAGCTGTCTATAAAACTTCAAAAACGCAGAGATCAGTCCTCCCCCTGTAAACCATAAAGGATGTTTACACAAACTGTTGGGGTCGGCTTATTTGGCCGTGTGGGCTAATGAAGCACAACTTTTGTCAGTCTTCAAAGTGTATTTTACAGCCATTCTCTCTCCGTGTCGTCCGGCGGGAACCCCCCTAGAGCGGCCTCCGCCTCTGCGCCGTTGTTGGCAGCGGCCCGGAGCCGCAGCGCTGCCGGCGGGGGAGAGTGGTAATAAATAACCCGGGGAGAGGAGCGGAGACCGCCGGGCGGTGCACAGTCTGACCTGACAAATACTCACTGGAAAACCATCAGAGAGCGAGAGCCCACCCCTAGCGCTTGGAGCCAGCCTTTCAGACATGAGCTGCAAAATATATAGGCCTGCCCCTACTGGAAAAAACACGGAGAGGAAGAAGACAGAAGCGTCTCCGTCTCTCCCCCCGCATTCACATCCAGACACCGCCGGAGACACGGCGAGAGTAATTAACTATTTAAAGTTCTTTCTGAAAGCATCAAAGTACGCCCTGTCCAAATCCACTATGGCAAAACAGGAGACGATAAACAAGTCAGAGGAAGTTACAGGAAGATTCAACTATTTTAAGTTTTGCTTGACATGGAAATGACCCAGTTAGCCTGAATTTAACCCGCAAGTTCACTAATGTTCTGCCTTGTTTGCTAACTGTAACTGGTGAACTTAGGTTCACAATTTCAAAAATGTCCTTGATTAAAAAGAGCATATTTTAGTGCCTATACCCCAAACCTTCAATGTTATTCCATTAGTTTTTATGATAACGCCTTTGTGTGCAATTGCATTGCAACTGTACTGTTAAGGATTATGGACATGCAACCTACAGACATGCATTTGTGCAGCCCTCTAAAAGAGTAAACCAGCCACAGACTGTATAAAACACTCAGGTAGCTTCCCAGCTGGAAAAACTAAGCCCATGTTGAAGTGTGCTCAACTTGCATTTCATCTGAAAACCACCAGAGAGCAACAGCTGTGGTTTCAAACACACTTCCTGTCCATTAGAAGTTTACTGGAAAACAGCTTCCTGCGTTGACCTCTCAACACTTTCATGTTGAGTTTGAGCTCAGTCAGTCATTTTGAGTCATAGCGAATAAAAAAACAACTCTAAAGGATTATTTGTGATCATGAAACCATATAATCATTAGCGAACGCCTTGCGATTGACAAACTGTTGCTAATAAGCGTGTAACTTTACACAGAGACCCACCCATCTCAACACATCCATTTTTTTTTTTGGCAACCAGAAAAGCTCATCTCAAGGTTTCAAAACGGGACTTCAGAAACAGCAGCTACGCCCATCTTTTATAGCGTCTATGCTAACAGCAAAGCCCAATCAGACTGATGTGGTTTTCTAGGTTAAATGCTGATTT